GCAATGGCTCATGCCTGTAATCCTAGCACTTTGGGAGGCCAAGGCAGGTGGATTGCCTAATAGCTCAGGAGTTCAAGAGCAGCCCGGGCAACATGGTGAAACCCCATCTCCACCAAAATACAAAAAATTAGCCAGACACAGTGGCAGGCACCTATAATCCCAGCTACTCGGGAGGCAGAGGCAGGAGAATCAGTAGAACCTTGGAGGTGGATGTTGCAGTGAGCCGAGATCATGTAGCCTGGACGATAGAGCAAGACTCCATCTCAAAAAAAAAGAGGTATCACACATGAGCCAGGCACAGTGGCTCACACTGTAATCCTAGCACTTTGGGAGGCCAAGGCGAGTGGATTACCTTAGCTCAGGAGCTCAAAACCAGCCCGGGCAACATGGTGAAACCCCATCTCTACTAATACACAAAAAATTAGCCAGGCGTGATGGCGTTATGCCTGTAATCCCAGCTGCTCGGGAGGCTGAGACAGGAGAATCGCTTGAACCCGGGAGGTGGTGGTTGCAGTGAGCCAAGATGGTGACACTGCTCTCCAGCCCAGGTGGCAGAGCAAGACTCCGTGTCAAAAAAAAAAAGACGTATCACACATGGTCCCACACATATCTAATTTGTGTTAGTATTTCTCTCTTCACATGCCTTTTGCTCTATTCGCTTCTCTTAAACAATCTTTGTTCTAAAGGCTTCATGTCCTGAATTACTTCCTTGACCTCTTTACAGGATCAAAACCAGCTGCTGGCACTGGTTTTCAGCAACAATGAGATCTGGCTTTTAAGCTAGATGTCATTAATGTCTTGGTCATGTCATTACGAGCATGATTGTCTGCATCCTAATCTGAGAAGGCAGACAGCAGAGAGAATGGATGGTGGAATGGAACACTGAAAAACGCAGATTAGAAAGGAAAGAAAACATCCTCTTGTAAAGCTTTCCATAATGCTATTTTTATCTTTATAAAGATGCATGAGAGGAAGAGAAGGAGAAAGAGAAAAGCGGGGAAACCTAATGGAAAGATTTTATCAGAAAGAGAAGGAACAAATGCCTTTGTAAATATTTCCTGAAAATTTGGGAAGGTTACTATGAGTGTGGTTTTGTGTGCATCTGTGTATGTGTATAGCTATTCCTTCATTTTTTCTCAGTTGTCCCAACACCAAAAAGTCTGACCTCACACCTCCCATAAAATATAAAATGTATTTGGAAAATTCCATCAAAGCTTAAGATACATATTTGAGTATTCTTGGTTACTAATAATTACCAGCTGATCATCCAATTCAAAAAGTTGTTCCAGGTAAGTTTCAGACAATCTTCGAATGTTTGGTTTCATTGATGGAGCAATGCACATATCCCTTTAATAACATCATAAAACACAGTCAAAATTAATTTCATTTTAGGGTAGTTAGTTCCATAGTTAAATCAGTGATTCTTGTAGACAGAATGAAAGGAAGGAGAAGGAAAAGACATTTCCCCTTCAGAGAAGCAGATCAGAATCACCCAGAGGACTTTTTCAAACCACTCTCACAAGATTTTGCTGTGTCCCCCAAAGGAGAATATGCCTCCCTTTCCTCATTCCCATCTTGAAATAAACTGGCTCTATGAACACGTTACTGATCAGAGTACATCGTATTTCTCAAATTGAGACATGGTGGGCAAATTATTCAGGTTTGTGTCTTTGGAACTGAAAAGCCTGTGGAGGAATTCCTTAACAATCTTGAGATTGGAAGCAGTCATTGGCAAGCCCTTATTTGTTACTGTACAATAAAAGATTCCTTCAAAATAAAATGTTTCCCCATCACAAATCAAAACAACACTTACCAAAGAAGATTCTGAAGACCACTTTTGATTATAACCATGATCATTCCCTCTAAAAACCTCAGTGGATCCTCAGGACATGTAACAAGTATACCACATAATAGTGCCTGGGGAAGAAAAGGAAATGGCATCAATGTTTCTGAATTTTCATGTTTTTACTAAGCAGCAGATAACTTTTTTTGTTCAATGTGTTTTGGGTCGTTTGTTTGTTCATAATTATTTATTTCCATAAGTTTCTGGGGAACAGGTGGTATCTGAGTAAGTTCTTTAGTGGTGATTTGTGAGATTTTGGTGCACCTATCGCCTGAGCAATATACACTGAACCCAATTTGTAGTATTTTATCCCTCAACCCCCTCCCACTCTTGCCCCCAAGTCCCCAAAGTCCATTATATCATTCTATGTCTTTGCATCCTCATAGCTTAGCTCCCATTTATGAGTGAGAACATATGACGTTTGGTTTTCCATTCCTGAGTTACTTCACTTAGAATAATGGTCTCCAATTCCATCCAGGTTGCTATGAATGCCATTATTTTTTTCCTTTTCATGGCTAAGCAGCAGGATATATATGATGTGAGATATATATATTTCACAATTATTTTATCCAATCATTGATTGATGGGCATTTGGGCTGGTTCCATATTTTTGCAATTGTGAATTGTGCTGCTATAAACATGTGTGCAAGTATTTTTTCTGTATAATAATGCCTTTTCCTCTGGGTAGATACCCAGCAGTGGAATCACTATCCCACTACCGATCAAATGGTAGTTCTACTTTTAGTTCTTTAAGGACTCTCCACACTGTTTTCCATAGTGGTTGTACTAGTTTCCTTTTTTTTTTTTTTTGGAGTCTCGCTCTTGTTGTCCAGGCTGGAGTGCAATGGTGCGATCCTGGCTCACTGCAACCTCCACCTCCCCACTTCAAGCAATTCCCCAACCTCAGCCTCCCAAGTAGCTGGGATTACAGGAGCCTGCCACCATGCCCAGCTAATTTTTGTATTTTTAGTAGAGACGGGGTTTCACCATGTTGGCCAGGCTGGTCTTAAACTCCTGACCTCAGGTGATCCGCCTGCCTCAGCCTCCCAAAAAGTGTTGGGATTACAGGTGTGAGCCACCGCACCCAGCCTAGTTTACATTTTCACCAGCAGTGCAGAAGTATTCCCTTTTCACTGCAGCCATACCAACATCTACTATTTTTAATTTTTTTTATTATGGCCATTCTTGCAGAAGTAAGACGGTATCACATTGTGGTTTTGAATTTCATTTGCCTAATAATAAATGACGTTGAACATTTTTTCCTATGTTTGTTGGCCATTTGTATTTCTTTTGAAAACTGTCTATTTATGTCCTTAGCCCACTTTTTGATGGGATTGTTTTTTTCTTGCTAATTTGTTTGAGTTCTTGTACATTCTGGATATTAGTCCTTTTTGGATGTACAGATTTTTGCCTACTCTGTGGGTTGCCTGTTTACCCTAGCAGCAGCAAACTTTTTTTCATACAGTTAAAAACTCAAATAATGTTACAATTTAAAGTAAATGTGTTTTTACATAGCCTTCTATATTTATTCAGTGTTAATATTTTGCTAAAGTAAAACAAAAATGAAGTTTATCTTGCATCTTTCTAAAAATTCATCATAAAAAACACAAAAAAGTCACTGTACTGAGATGGTTTGCATTATGTGAGAAGTACGTTCTCTATAGCCAATCTAAAGACATAACTGTGATGTTTTACATCAGGGGTTTCTAGCCTTTTAAAGTATGAGAAACTCATAGGGTTTTGGTTTTGTTTTTTTTTCGCCAAAAAGTTCCTTAGACCCAACCATAAAAGAGATTGAGAAAATCCATGATTAAAATGTGTGAATTTAAGAACTCCTAAAAATACATTTATATTTTATCATTCACAACATCTACAGAGTATATACATTTCAAAAATTGTAGCTCAGTACCCATAGGTGAGAAACAATGGGTTTGCTGGATCTAAGATACTGTTTAAAGCACATATATGGAACTCAAAAAGTTGTCTCATTTTCCTCATGAGGTCCTCCCAAAAGAAGAAACTTCTCATTAAACATGTTGGCAAGATATACACAATTATTGACGTTTTCTCCATTTGAGACAGATGAAAAGGTCTGCAGAATACCTCCCACAGAAACCACCTGGAATTCTCCATCAACATTTCTCTTTCCCTTTGTGGTTCACTGTTTTCTGGTGGGGCCTAGTATACGTGTTGGGGTAGTCGGGATGCTTTGGACCCACTCCTGCAGGCTTTTTCACTTGATCCTGTATTTCCAGAACAAAATAACTCCGTCACTTGAGTTACACAGAGCAGTTCTCTCTACCTCCATAAGCCAAATGTCAGCAGATCTAGGCCTGGGGTCTTGTCTTAGACTCTCAACAATTCTCATAGTGCTCTTCCAAAACTAAAAAAGGTCAATTCTCCTAATTGGACCCTGCATAATACAGCCTCCCCCTTTGCAATAGCTCCATGCTCCTCTTCTTAGTACACAGCCTGCAAGCAGGAAGCTCAGCCCTCACGAGAATGGCACAATGGTGAGATTTAGATCCCTCTCCCTCTCCAGCTCTGCCTTCAGACTGAGCCCATACTAACTGCTCATAAGTGCTCAGCCACCTGCAGACTTACTTCCTTTTTCCCCAAACCAACAGACTATAGTTGTACAGGAGATTAGTGGTCTCACCACAGTTGCAGCCTGAATTTGAACAGTCATCTATTACCTAAAGAGCCAGCAAAATGGGTTCTATGGGGACCGAACAAAAGGGCCAAAGCCTTCTATTATCTGGAGGGCAATCAGACTTCCCACAGCTCTCTCAATATCCCTGGTGAAAAGCCCATCTGCTCTCTAGCACTCTGTGCCTGGGTCTCTAGAGTATTGAGTTTTTGTACTCCCTACTCTACATCCTTTTCTCCATCTTATTCTGGCACTCTGAGGACATCTACATCAGAATCAACTGGAGAATGAATTTGTCTCTGAGAATGGAGAGTAGGAACCTGCATTTTACTAACTTCTCCAGGTGATTCTTATGCATACTGCTATCCAAGAATGAGTGCCTAAATGAAGTTCAGCATTATGATATATTTTTAAGAAAGCTGAGGACTGGTTAATGTATGTCAGAAGTTGCATATATATTTATAACCTCCACATGTAATAAACTGCTTTTCCTGGAAAGCTATCCTGCAGAAGTTAAGTCAGGTTGAGAAGATAAGTCTCTAAAATGCTAATAAAGGCATATGGAATGAGCAGAGTTGAAATGCACGCTTTTCACATAAGAAATTTCACTGTTGGCCAGGTGTGATGGCTCATGCCTATAATCCTACCACTTTAGGAGACCAGGTGGGAAGTTTGCTTGAGGATAGGAGTTCAGGACTACACTGGGCAACACAGTGAGAACCCATCTTTACAAAAATACAAAAATTGTTTTAAAAATTAGCTGAGCATAGCGGTGTGTACCTGTAGTCCTAGCTACCTGGGAGGGTGAGGTGGGAGGATTGCTTGACGCCAGGAGTTCAAGGCTGCAGTGAGTTATTATCATAACACTGTACTCCAGCATTGTTGACAGAGAAAGGCCCTGTCTCAAAAAATAATAATAAAGAAAGAAATCTCACTGTCTTTTTGCCTTGGACAAAATAGCACAGCATGACATTTTATGTAACAATGAGTGAACAGTGTGCATAGCTACATTCCAATAAGACAGCCCAGCTAATGAATCAATAGCTTTTTCCTTGCCCAATTAAAATAAAAATCACAAAACCATTAACTTAGTCTTTATCGTAAGCACGAGCAAAATTAGCCAACATTCCCACAAAATTAATGTTTGACTCTCAAAAACATTAATCAGGGCCTTGTTATTGATAATATTCTCATTAAAAACTTAACAATCAAGGACAAAAAACTCCATGAGTTAATTATTAGATTGGCTCTCTCAAGCTTGTAAGTTCACAAACAATTACATAATCCTCACTTTCTTTTGGCTCTACTCTCCTAAACTCAGCTCCCAATAATTTTCATCTATTCTGAAGGATGTTCTAGGCCCTGAGGACAAACATGGGTTTATCTAGGACTGTTGTTCCCACTCCTTTCTGCTATTATGTATCCTTCAGGAAGTAAGATAATGCAAAGAATAGAGTCCACTGGTTTAAATGTGGGATCTGCAATCTTCTACCATGCAACCATTGACAAATTATGTCTCTGTTTCTGTTTCCTTAAAAAAATGGGATTTAAAAAAAGTTCATATGCCATATGGCTATCATGAAAATTAAACACTGGTTTGAATAGTGTCTAACACAGAAAAGGCACTCAATAGATGATGATAGCAAGCTATCACTTTTTTTGTTTTGAGACAAGGTCTTGTCCTGTAGCCCAGGCTGGAGTGCAGTGGCACAATCAACTCATTTTAACCGCAAGCTCTTGGGCTCAAGCAATCCTCCCATCTCAGTCTCCCAAGTAGCAAGGACTACAGGCATGTGCCACCACACCTGCTTAATTCTGTTGTTGAAATGGAGTCTCACTCTGTTGCCCAGGCTAGTCCTGAACTCCTGGCCTCAAGTGATCCTCCTTCCTCTCAGCCTCCCAAAGTGCTGGGATTATAGGTATGAGCCACTGTGCCTGGTCCATCAATATTTTTAAACATTCCACTGCTAATTATCAGCTTCATTAGAGGAAAACATTTGGACATAGAGAAAAGAAATTGAAAATATTCCGTTACACTACTCAAAGCCCAGTGTGATGACAGAGAGAGAAAGAGAGACTGACTCTGACTTAAAACACACCTAATGGAAGGTGTTAGGACAAAAGCATTTGGTGGAAAATGGCTAGGAGAAAAATTAATTGACCAATAGTTCAAATATAAATGACAAGATAGTAACTATTATAACCCTGGCTGGACACACAAAACAAAACACTTAAGAGAGCAAGTCTTGTTTAGCTTTTCAGATACTCAGATATAACATAGTGAAATATACTGAGGGCTGAAATAGTAATACTATAATATAAAAAATAATTACTCCAGCCGGGCGCAGTGGCTCATGTCTGTAATCCCAGCACTGTGGGAGGCCAAGCTGGGTGGATCATGAGGTCAGGAGTTCAAGACCAGCC